CTTCGCTGTATCTCTTTTTCTTAGAAAGAAAAACCGAAAAGCTTATCAGTGTTTGTCAAAGTAACGCTACGTGTGACACTAAGCTAAAATCGATACCATCGCACGTAAGCACGTGCCATTCAAAATAATGTTCATTCCTCCAACGCAATTTTTTGCATACAATTTTCCTGTAAGCATAGTTGATTTTTCTATTCACCGTCCAGTAATCAGCAACAGCGGTGCGCACATGCTGATTTGCGTATCTTTTCCGCGTGATCGCGTTGATAGTCGCAAGTAATTTACCGGCGTGCATCGAGTCTCATTTAAATGTCATCGGACGAATCGGATGGAACAGGTCTCGAAACGCGCGCTGACGATTATTCAGAGTTACGAGCGCAATCATCAACTACGTATTTAAGCAGGCATCACATATTTAAACATACGTTACGTGTAAAAATAAGGTAGGTAAACGCGGACCGTAGCAAACGAGTTTCATTACAGAGAATTCCGTCCGACGCGAGGAAAGTTCCGTTTCCGAGAAACGTCGTAACTTTTGTTAGTACGTGGGAGTAATTGTTTCCATTCCTGCCTTTTAATCGTTATAATTATATCGTAACAACCAGACGCCCATTTTACCAAATCTTGAATTTTCTCACATGGAAACTCCTTAGATAAGATAAATCCAGTAAGGTATTATAAAATATTTCTCGTAAAATAGTGACGCGAGGAGATAAAACGAAATGGTAGAAGTAGAAGCCGGACAAAAGTGGGACAATGCACTCGGTTTTCCTCGTCGGTAGAGAAACTTCGGCACGTCATTCACCCTTCTCTCGTGACGTAAATCGGGATTGCGCACAATCCCGAATGGACCTGCGATTAAAAAAGAGCAGCCGATGGAAAGTGGGCACTGCAGGAAAACTCTGATGACGATGTGTGACGTAGGTACGGTTTCAAAATGAAAGTTCATTTAACATATAACTGGATAAGTTAGGACGGGATTGTTAGCTCCGAGTTAGCGAATGTGATTACACATACATCGAATGCTATTCAAAATTTATCTACTGTTATTAGAAGTTAATTCCATTTTTTTCACAAACTAGAGTTCTTCTTTTTGTTATACAGGGTGGTTCGTTTTCGTCGTTATTCGTCGTGTTCAAAAGGCAAAAACGAGCATTTTGTACAAATATCCGATTATTCCAATTTATTATTAAAAGGAGAAATTAGAAAATTAGTTACAAAATACCTATTTTTATCTCGTTTGATGCTATATAATTTACATATAGGTAATATGCAAATATGGGGCTAAAAAATATATAGAAAATTTGTACGTCTCGTATTTCTTACAAAACATTTTGGGGACAGATTGCTGAAATACAGAACTGTCCCCAGAAATACAGAGCAGATGGTTATCGTAAATATAAATATCTTTACTTAACTTTTCACAATTTATCTAAATCAGGTACTCAGTTAATTATCTGATGCTGATAAAAAATATGTTGAGCACGATAACGTTTAGAGTTATACGTTTAATCAATATTAAAATAGTACTTATGCTGATTCATATCAGGAGTTTAGCAGCACGTGTATATTATCTACGATTGAGTCTTTTTAAGAGTATTTCAGCAGTTATTTCTTATTTTTGATTAACCAACGTTCCGGCGTGTCCACGTATTCCGGGATTTTTCCTTGAAGCGAGTGTACATAAAAATTATGAGCATGCCACGCACTACTATTCGTCATTGAGTAAATAGAATCGGTCAATATTGATTACTTCAATTGCGAATACGTTTCCGCTTCAAAAACGTGAAAAAAACTGCTCCTCAATCATTCCGCCTTGCCGCTTATAAATTATTCACTTTGACAATGTTATTAAAAGATACCATGTTTGACGATTCATTTATTCAATTACAAGATACTTGGCTTTGGCAATTAAAAATCCAGTTCTCAAAGTCGATTAGGCGAGTATATTTTTTCTGATTCGTTACCAGAAAGCCGAGGATACCCTCTTCCTGAATCGATTCATAGTCACACAGGGACGTTAATAGCCTTGATGAAGAGGCTCTGTACGCGGTAAAAAATGATCTCGCTTTACCAGGAGCAAGCATCGTGCTTTTTGCCGAGCTATCCTTTGATACGCAACCACCTTTTCGACGATGGAGCCTTGGCGAGTGGCCTTTTAATCAGAATTTAATACGTACGCTCCTCCCCTCTTGGGAAAACGCTTGTACTATGTAATCTTATTGCATTTTAATGTTACTTCAAATTCAACGTTTCTCGTTATAAGAAGACTGCGGGTTTTTATACTTGATGAAAGTTTAGAGTAACAGTTTAAGGAGTGAGATTTAGTAACTATGTCCTTTAATCTTGTACATAGTTGAGACTTCATACTGATGCTTCTTTGATACTTTATGCAATTTTATTCTTTTATGTATATCTCATGTTTTTATTTTAATATCTGTTATAAATTTAATAATTTTAATGTATAAATAGATAATTTTAATATCTAATATTTAATATAAAGGCATAAAATTCCTAATCTAAATATTAATTAATTACTTATGAACCGCCTGGTGATAAAGTCAAGCCTGATAGCAGATTCTTATTCAATTTTTACAATGTAACACTAGCTAGTTTCAAGGAACAAGAATTATCTTTTATCTAAATTGCGTATATTTTTACAATCACGGCGCGGGCAGTTAACTGATCAGGCAGCCATTCACCTTCGAATGTGTGCTTGAATGTATCTAAAAATACGCTTCCGTTTACGGGACAATGCTAATCGTTAACAGGTGTTACACATTCCCTTATGGAACAATAATGCAAACAACTTCCCTTGATTGTTTCGATGATTAAACATTTCCAAAGCTTTCGTCATTGTTTTTTATAGATTCCGAATGACAAAATTCCGCGTTATTACTCAATCGTCGATTTTCTTTTCTTAGCTGCGAGGACGTTGCTTAAGACCCGTTCTTTTTTCTATACATATATTCAGTCGTGAGAAATTTCAACCTTCTGAGAAATTCATAATCAGTTTGATACGTCGGAACGAATTTCTAGATCCGTTTCTCGATCTGCGATTAATAATCGCAGGATCAGATTTTTCTGCGGAGCACGACGATATCCGGGGTAACTCCCACTATCGGGAAACTTCCCCGGGACCGTTCTCCACGGTTTCCGGTACCCGTCATTCAATCGTCCACGCTGCTATGCGCTCCGAACGTCTATGGTATCCTTGGAAGTGTCGATTTGGTCACGCTTGACCGGGCCCGATCGGCATTGTATTATGAAAGAAGGTGAAAAAAATATCGGTTTCAAACGCAGCGGGAAAAAATTTCAGCATGAAACATACATAGATCACAATCGCAGAGGCAATGACGATCGTTGAAACGAAGTTTTCATTCAATTAATAATCATTGATGATTATCGCAATAATCGCGAACACGCATTTGCATTTTACATTATCTCTTTCGTTAGCGAAGTTTTGTCTGACCGATAGATATCGTTCGGAAAATCATTACTTTTAATTATCGGAAAAGGTGAAGCATTTTTGAGGACGAGATGTTTCGTAGAAAAGATTGAGTAAAATAAAAAGCGAAAAATGCTGCTGCGAAATCCAAGGCAATTAACGCGCTCTTAACCATTTCTCAGCAAGCAATCAATTAGCCAGCAAAGCTGAACAAAAAATTCTTCTTTCACTAAAATAAAGGAAATCTATTGCATATCATGAGACTGTAGATTTGTATGCAGAATAAAACGTTCATGGTTTNGAAAAATCTCGGAAAAATGAAAAATTTTTTTTTTGTCAAAATTTCGAAAAATGCTTCAAATAAAAGTTGTAGGTACTCCTATTATCTACGAGAAAAGTGATTACCATAAGAATACATGCCAATTTTAAGTAACTATAATTTTTCAGAAAATCCATGAATTAATTAAAAATTTTACAGGTAGCTTTGCAATAGTAATAAGAATGTGTAATAACAAATTCAAAAGCGCATAAGTATATTGTCTATACATCCGTAAGAACATGGCAAACATTCTCAATATTCATAGCCAACACGATATTTCTATAAACTCCGCATAAACTTCGCAGACTGCAGAGTCACGTAAAGGTAGTCATGAAATAAAAAAAACAATCGCACCGGTGCAATTTCGTAGAATTTTAAACGACAGAAAACGATATCATCTTTCCGTCGATACCCACAGATTTCCTTTACTGATCTTGTGCTGTTCGTCACTCAAATGAATTCAGATATCCTATAAATAATTCATTCGCGTTATCAAGGCTACGAATCAAGCCGGGACGTCAAGTGATTCACGGCGCGTGGATGGTGCAGTTTTAATAACATGATGATAATGAACAATCTTTCCTGTCGCGTGCGGCCGAGCTTGGTAAATCCTCTGACGGTTCAGGAAATAAATGTGAATCAAAGTAAAATACCGGTCTTGATCTCAATGCTTCCCACTTACAGGACATGCATTTTAATTATAAATATACTCAATAAAGAGTACATATGGTCAACGTTTCTTAATCCTCAAGCATTTTATTATGAAATTATTGTTAGTAACATTCTCGATGAAAACGGGACCATTACAGTGTTGAATGAACGCGAGCGAAAAAATGCGAGCGACGTAGTGAAGAAAGGGGAGTACAGGGAGCAGGGGTAGAATTAAGAGAAACGCCGTCGGGTGTTTACTGTGAATTCCTCCCGCAATAAATCCGGTCTCCGGTTCACTCGAAATTGCTTTTCGAGGATCGTCTCACGGCGGATGCAATTAAAGAGGATCACCGTACGGCTGTAATAAAATCTGCCAAGTTTTCAGCGCCAATCAGAAAAAGAAATAGAATAAGCTGATAGCAACAAGAATTTTCTTCGAAAGCACGTTTTATCACAAAAACTAGCAACTTTATTTACATTGATTTTTATGTTCAGTTGATAGCGAAGTTATTCTTATAAATTCGTACATTTTAAATTGAAAAAATAATTTCTATTAGGAATAAATGTTTCCGTCAAACGTGTTTATAATTTCGGATTTCCGCGGTCGATGTTCCAGAAATTGCAAAGCTGCTTGCGCCTACGCGAAAAGTTTTGAAGACGACCCACGCTCGAAACTTCCCATTAGCCTACTTCACGAGGGAGCGCGTCGCCCCTTGACAACGCTTCAAGTCGGAGCATTCAAACAGCCGCCGTAGTAGGTCCCGTTAAAAGAAGAAGCTGTAAATAAGGCGTGAAGCTTCATAAATACGAAATTACCCGAAAGAACCGTGATAATAAATTCGGCCGACCGTGCAGACGCAAAGCGAGAGATCTCAACTATGCAGGCGTAAATCAGAAGTACTTGAAAACTTTGTTGGCAAGCGTTGGTGCTTTAATCTTTCAGACTTTGCGTAATAACCATCATAAACGTCATAAACGAGCTTTGAAACAGATATTAAGAGCGAAGAAATAGTTCTGTTGCGAAATAAAATAAAGGTGTAAAAGGGTGTTTAAATGTCGACAGGCAAGAAACGTCTTTGCGTTTGAGAAGAGGAAATTCAGAGTCGTCAGAGTTCCTTAAACTTAATTGAAAATATACACGAAATGTGTAAATTAAGTAACTTTATATTATAATTGTATGTATAAAACAATAATGGAAAAAGACTTTCTTTTACTGTTTCAATAATTAAACCTGTACAAATTTTGGTTTTTAAAGTTTTGAAATAGATAGTAAAAGCGAAGAAACACTTCTGTTACGAAGTAAAATAAAGAGGTGGAGAGGTGCTTGAATGTCGAGAGGCAAGAAACGTTTTAGCGTTTAGAAAGAAGAAATTCAGATTCGTGGAAGTTCTTTAAACCATTGAAAACCATTGTAAATATGAGTACGTTTCATCTTGTGAAGTCGAGCACTTTTACAAAAATTACACGTGGCGTAAGAAAAATTGGATTCTACGAGGATAGAACATTGAAAAAACGAACGGGAATTCAAACGAAACAGTGTATTGTGTGTACAGGTCGTTTTATTGGCGCATGTAAAGCCGGGAGCAAACTGCTTTTACTGAATGAACGTTTTCCACGTAACCATGCGAGAACGATTGTGTGCAGAACAAACTTCGAACCGACCCCGGGGTTGATTTCTCGCAATCCCCGTTCCCGGAATCGTCCTTTCATCCCCGGCGATCCCCGTCTTCCTACGATGCGTATAAAAACCATGACAAAAGAGGAATCGTCGGCGATCGATTAGGGGATGAAAATTTCTCCTCTCTTTATAATCCTCGAGACTCGACTTATAACTTGATTGACAATCCTCTGAAATCGTGTCAGCGTTTATGCGATTTGCGTCACGCCGATTAATGCAATAACATAAATGCGCGCGCGTGACGGACATAAAATTCACGTCGCTTCCGGGCAGATGCCAAACCATTTAACGCGAACTCGACTAACTAACAAACTGTTTGAACTTACTTTAAAACCGATCGATCGTGCGGCGATTAATTTACGATCGTCTGCGACGTATCCGTGTCAGCTTGCAAACGATTACATAAACTTAGTGTCAATTGTAGCTAATCGCATGGGACGTGTGATCAATGTTTATAATTGTTGAGACAATAATAATTTGTAATTGTCACACAGTTCTTGGAAGAACCACTACCGCGTCTTTCATAATCGATAACAGTGAATAACTGTGAGACAAAAGTGTCAGGCTGGAGCGAAAGTAACGGCAGCTAACAAGCAACATGATTAAAACTTTATTAAGCGCGCTCGGGTTTTGCGCAAAACCCTGTTGATTTTCCAGCGTGGCTCGTTAATTAGTCAAACAACACGCGTCTCGCGTTTTCCTTGATCGACTACCGGTTTTCCACTCGCGTGAACTCCGTTTAATTATCTGTGTAAGTAGAATAAAAAAAAGGAACGAACGTTCAACGTTAATGGCGCAGTAATTTAAAATAATGATACCCTAATCTTGATTAATTAAACATCTGGCAAATCAGTTTTCCGATAATCCCTCAGGGCTTTTGTATTGGACTCCTTCTGTTTAATATCTTCATTAATGACATTTCAATGACAGTTAGAAGTATTTTTCTTAATTAGTCTTTCCTTACTCTTAGTCTTCCTTAGTTTAGTCTTTCCTCCAAATTAATTATTCTTGATTCACTCTCATCTCCGACAATAATATTATATCACTCCCAGTTTTCGTTTTTACATTTTTTATATTAAATTTTCACTTTATATTGATTATCAATTGGTCTTTAAACTCGTAAATAAAAAAATAAATACAGACATTCTATTGTGTCAGCAGAGCAGCACTATAGTAGTTAGTAAATGAGATACTATCTACGTCAGGAAGAACGAATTTCAACTGTCATTTGAAACTGAATTTCAGCTTGTCTAAACGAGCTTTTCTCTCAAGAAATCGACCATTTCAACCTGCTGGATAATCTCCGGCAGATGAATTTCCGCGACGCCTTCCGGCCGACACAACGCTCGGGCGTCCTTGAATTAACGGGGCGCGAATTAACGGGGATAGACAGCCGCGATGCAATTAATTCCAGCATCCCGTCGTTGGCCGGCTTTCTTTCGCGATGATTCCGCGATGAAACTTTAGCTCCAGGACCAGGGCTCGCGTTATGCAACCCAGTTTCGAAGTTCAGGAGGGACGTCGGTCAAACAATGGTGTAACCCGACCTACGTGGTGATTGCTATTAATCTTCTCAATTTAGTATTTTGTTGTCCCGTTCCGCGGCGGGCTTCCTTGCGATTTTCAATAATATTTGCGCTACCGGATAATCAATATGATTGACATAATCAATTGCCACAACCGTGTCTTCTTTAAGATGTTCAAATTTGCCCAGAGCCCAGATAC